GCAGGAACTGTTTCTTTTTTTTGGCTTCTATTTATATCCCCAACACTGCCACATAGTAAACATTTAATGCTTGTTGGCTTGCTTTTTGCTTCATGTCTCAGTTATGTGCAATTGACTGAAAGATATAGAGAATATACAATCTCATTGTACTTAATTGTTGACTATTATGCAATATTTGATTTATTTTACATAATATTGCTGTTACATACTCTTTTCCAACAAGATGTCTTCCAGGTATACATCAATATCACTCAAGATTCCTTGAGAGACAAAGATTAGAAATAACCCTTTCTGGTAGTAACATAAATATTAGGCAAGGCATGTAACAGGGAAATACTTTCCAATCATGCTTGACACTAATATAGAGAAGGTATGGCATAGAGTACAAGTTGAAGAGGGTTTTTCTGTGTGTGGTAATGTCCTCTCAATGCCCATTTGTAGATAACATTGTACTGGCTGCAACAAGCCCTGAAATATTGCAGAGCCTCCTTAGCAAGAAATACTCAAAGCAGTGACCATCTACACAGGAAAGGTGAAGTAGATGAAGAATGTCTATTGCCTGGTTTATGACAGGGAAATTTGTGAAAAACTTATGAAGTTTGTCCATCAGTAGGTATATCTGAAGTAGGCAAGACAGATAGATGGACAATGACTTGGGCCCAAAGTTGAACAGGAGGAAAGATGGCTAGATTACTTTCTGGAAACTGCAAAGTTCCATTAGTGACACCAAGTTTCCCATGGAAACAAAGATCCAGCTACTTAAAAGTTATGCAATCCTATTATATCCTTTTACATTAACATTCTGCCACTATTGCTGTATGGTGGTGACACATGGAATTATTTATACATTGAGAAGATTCTGATCAAGTGCCAAGAACTCCGGAAACTTTAGGCATATGCAAATGCATCATTATTTTTAATTTTGTCAGTCTCTTCAGCTTTTACTGACAGAGCAAAGATATCCATAAAGACATTTTTATTATTTTCCAAGTTTCCATTAAAGAAGCTGTTTCCCATCGCCCAGGCATAAAACCCACAAGTGGTAAAATGTTATAAAAAGTGTTCATAAATAACACCGTTAATGTTTTCACCAGAATATTCAAGCTTCACTCAGATTTGCCATCTGGACTATAATGAAGGACAGAGAAGAGATAAAGGCCTAGTGCTTTAAAAAGACTTCATGTGAGATTTTTGTGTACTTTAATCAGGAAAGTGTGAAATCTTTTTTTAAAAGTAAGCAAAGCACATGTTTTCATGATTCATTAATTCTTGAATTAAATATCAGAGGATAAGAGAGAGGTACTTGATGTGAGCAGATTGTAACATATAACCAATGAGGAGCTTCTAAGAAGACTAAGAAATGTCATCAAGGAAATGTATGCTAGGAAGAGAAAATGTCTTGATTATATGGTAAGGGATGACAGGTTGACAGCCAGAGTACTCCACTGGTACTCTCACAATGTCAGCAGGGAGGAAGGCCTCTGGCACATTGGGTGTGGCTGTAGCAAATTTATGGGAGAACACAATCATGCAGGAATGATAGGCATGGAGGGGTACAATCTGTGTTGTTAGAAGGAATTCCCAAATCAATGAGATCACAGATCTATATGAATATTTGACTACATTCCCCAGCACTTGGAATAGTGTCTGGCATATATAAATGCATATAGGTTGCTTGTTTTTGAGCCTATACTTCCATTCATGCAGGGGATTACATGAGTTTTGCATTCCATGTCACATTGTTGACTCATATTGAGTCCAACTAAAACCCCCTGGATCTTTTTACATAAGCAAGATGTTATCTAGCCACATATCCCCTATCTTGTATTTGTGCAATTAATTTTTTAACCAAAATGTAGGGATTTATATTTATCCCTATAAAATTTCATTTTAGATTCAGCCCAGGCTTTTAGCCTATAGGGTTATTCTGGACCCTAATTCTTCATCCAGCATATTAGTTATTCCATTCAGTATGTTAATTATTCTACTCTGTCATCCACAGATTTGATAATCATAACACCATCCTTTTATTCAAGTCAGTGATAAAAAATGCTGAATAGAACAAGGTCTATGACAAAGCCCTTGTGACAATGTATTAAGTATTTTCCAGATTAATTTCAATGACCCTTTGGGTTTGGTCATTCAAACAGTCCTAAATCTACCTAACTATACTATTATCTAGCCTTGATTTCTCCATCTTGACTACCAGATTACAAGACTGTCATTATGCCTTGATGAGTTCCAGGTACACTATATTTATGGCATCTCCCTCCCTGCTCTGTCAGTCAAAAAAGAAAAAAGAAATGGGTTTGTGCTTTATTTGGCCTCATAGTTTGGTTTAAAGCAAAGACCTAGTTCCAGGAATTTACAGGAAATGGGTGCTCAGGAAGCTGGTTCCACCAAGAGTTTTATTATCATGTGGTGCAGTAGCAGGAAAAAAAATACACTCACATCATATGGCAATTAAACAGAGGTTCATCCCCCAGATGTAAGAATCTTACCCAGAGCGTAAGCATGATGTCTGTGAGGTTGAAATCAAGCAGAGTAGCTAATGGTAAAAGAAAATCTCATTTAGGAGACTCTGATATTTTCCAGGACTTGACTCTATCTACACCAATACCTGTGAAGAGGAGCATCTGAAAGACCTTGTCATTTATACAGTGAATCCTTTTTCCCTTTGGACTTTGTGCTGGACAGCCTCTGTGACATTTACAAACACCTTTGGTGAACATACATCTCTGTTTAATGTCACTTGATGTTAGAAGGTCAAAATGTTTCAAGGAATCTTTTGGTTTTTCTTTTTCATATTAATGGGAGACATTTTTGGAGGAAAGCCTTTAAAGTGGTACCTTTGATCTGCAAATCAAATACTTTTTAAAAAGTCATTAACAAGCAGCTGATTTTATATTCTCTCTACCTTTTAGTCAGTTGTGACTGTAAAGATATGGTCTGCTATAGAATGTTGTATGCAAAGACCTGCTTATTTTCTTCTCAAATTTTCCTCAAAGATGATTTTCATATGAATATAAATTCATAAAAACTTTACAAAGATGGCAAAGTAGGCACAGGACTTGGTCATTACTGATGTTTTCTTGGTAGCCTTTTTTTTTGATAAAAAGGTCCACAATTTCTTTTAAGTGTTTGATATACTTCCTTCTTTCAGGAATCACCAGGAGATGGAATTAGCTTTCTGCACCGAGCTTGCTAGTTTACCTTATTACTCATGTACAACTGTACACTCTTGAGGAGAAAGCTTAGACTATCAGTATTATTACCGACCTTTCCCTTGATATTCTTTCATGAATTATTGGGCCTCTCTACTGATAGAGCTGTTCCTTTACTGTGTCTGCTACTTTGTGATATTCAGGGCCCAACCCAAGTACCATCTCCTTCATGAAGTCTTTCCTGACCCACTCCCAAACTGGATAGGATCTTTCCCTCTGAATTTCCATAGCATTTTATTTGTACCTCACCTTATGGCATATCATATTTGGCCTTTTGTTATAATTATCTGTACACTTGCCTGTTCCCCCTATGAATATAAATACCTAAGAATATGGAGTTTTATTCTTTTTGTTTGTTTTTTTGTTTCGAGGCAATTGGGGTTAGTTGACTTGCCCAGGGTCACAACAGCTAGTAAGTGTCAAGTGTTTGGTCTGAGGCCTGATTTGAACTCAGGTCCTCCTGACTTCAGGGCTGTGCTCTATCCACTGCGCCACCTAGCTGCCCCAGTTTCATTCTTCTTTGTACACCTTCAATCACCCAAGACAGTGAACTGCACATAGTAAGTAGATACTTACTATTTATCTTGAATTTAATTCTATGGCTTCTCTGGGTTATGGAAAGCAGAGGTACCAAACTTGCTGCTAGATTCAATTCAGATTAAAATGTAATTAGGAAGTTTATAACAAAACAAATAAAAATACAACACAATACAGATAATGCTAATTTGTGGTTTTCTAAGTCAATTAAGAGTCAACTAATTTCTATTTTAGTTTGACTCTGCTTATGTGCAGGGTAGTCTGAAAGTCATTACTGGTCCAAGGCTTTCAGAACACAATGCCTACCTTCAAAAACTGAAGAATAGGGATTCTGCTTCCAGGAGCCAAGATGGTGGAATAAGAAGTTGCTCTTACTGTCCCTTATTAACGTCTGAAAGCCCAGAAAATATCACCCCAGGAAAAAGTGAAAAACAGAATAAGCAAACAGGATACGTGTGTTATAGGTATAAATGTTGTGCTAGAGTTATTTTCCCAAAATAGAGGCCTAGAAGGCTAAAACGTTATTTTTTGTTGTCCTCCTTTCTATTACTCAGCATCAGCGATAGGCCACCAGAGATGAGATTAAAGCAATGCAACAATATAATACAGACCATAAGGTAAGGTGTCTGTAGTAAAAACCATAACCAATACCTCAGTGATAAACATTACATGCAATTCTCACCAGCAATATTTATTCAACAAATATTTATTGAGCACCTATATGGTAAAAATATTTTGTTTGTATAGTACTTTACAAAGAGTGTCCATATGTTACTGAACACATATGTGAAGTGGCACAGTATGATGGAAAGAACACTAGATTTGTGGTTAGGAGATCTCAGGTTTGAATCCCAGCTCTCCTACTTACTATTTGTGAGACCTTGGGCAACTCACTTCACTGTTCTAGGCGTCAGTTTTCTCATCTGTAAAATAATGGAGTTATACTAGAAAATCTCTAAGATCCCTTCCAGCTCTAAAATCTACAATCCCATATTAATTCATTTAATCTTTGCAACAACTGTAAGACAGGTAAGTGACTATGATGACCACTATGCTGCACACAAGGTGACTAAGGCCCAGATAAATTGACTAATCCAAAGTTACCCAGCTGGTCAGCAGACCTAGGGTCTAGGTCTTCTGCCACTCAATCTAGTGCATTTTCTACCATACTGTCACTGTCCACGACACATTGTCATTGGCAAATTTTGGTTTTTAGTGGAGCCTTTACGTTGAAGGAAGTGTTATTATATCCTTTTTAAAAATATTTATTGAGTATAAATACATTTAAGTGTTAGGATGTAATTTCATTAATGATTACAACTCAACTATAATACTGAGGAAACCTTAGAATTAAAACTTTATCCAGGTTTAAGACAAAAAGCATAGGAAGAAAGCCAATGTAAATATTGAAAACAGTGATGATTCACTGACGTGAAGACACAACAAAACCTACATCTCAATTAAAGACATTTTAAATTAGTGCCTGATTTCACAATGGTATATATATTTGAACTATTTTTAGAATTATAAGAATGGTCCAAAATAGTTTAATAATCTTGATAAGGAAGTAGGCCTTATAAATACATCACTTCTTTTATCAAGCTATCAGGAAATTAAAGAATTTAAAGAAATCACATATCCTTGGTTTTAATAATTTCAGAAATAAAATATAAATAAATGAAAACAGAAGTCCTATACAACCACCAATATTTTACAAGTTTTTCTTCCTTAAGATGGAAGGAATTTTAAAATCTTACATAAAGAAAGTTCCTATTAAATGAATCAGTTCTCTAAATGAAAAACATTAGTGTACTAAACTTTTTCAGGAAAAGGAACAAAGATATGCAAATTGATTACGGTGACATTGGAAATATTTCCCAGTTTTCCATAATGTGTGTTTATTATACATAACATAGTGTTAAAGACATAGCTCTATGTAGCTGGGATCTGTGGCAATCCAAATTCATCCACCAGTACACCATCCTGAAGGGGGAAAAAGAGCTCTTAATATCACACATATAAAAAATTTATAACCAATCATTAGCAAAAAACTTATTACCAAAGTCCATCAAACAAAACAAACCCCAATTATCAGTAAAGAGAGAAACAAAAGAGAAAGCTTTTAAAGAAATGAGAAGAGAAATGGAAAAATGAAGGAACCAAGAAATTCATAGGAGGAAAAGAGAAGAAGACAGAGAAGGCTAGAACAGAGAACAGGGAAAAGAGGAAAAAAGAAGGAAGCACGAAAACAAAAGAGAAATATAGTTGAAAAAAGTGGGTATAATAGTTTAAAAGAGAGAAAAAACTGGGGAGAAAGTCTTTTTCTCCTAATGTAATTTTCTTATTTAAATTTATATGTATGTGTATGTGCATATGTTTATATGTGTAAATTTTATGTATGTGTACACACACATACACACACACACACACACACACACACACACACTCTTCACTTCCTAGTGAAGCACATTCCTTTCTTGGTCTCTTGAATCACTCTGACTTAACTCATCTAAAGTGAAGATACCTTCACTAACACACTATAGTAGACAATGACATATTGTAATATTTCTATTAATGATGAGTGTAGATTCCAGTAATTCAACTTGTACACAATGTTGGAACAGGGGAAAGGTCAGGAGGAAGAGGGGCATGTTATACTCATGTGCCAGAACAGAGAAAGCTTTAGGTCCTGGAAAAAGCCAGGATACAGCTTCCTCTCCCTCATTAAGAGTTAGGCTTTTAGGAGTCACAGGTAGGCCTGTCCTCCCTGTTTATCCTATATAAAAAGGAAGAAGGAGTTGTTTTCAAAGACTGATAACTATTCCTATGCCTCTTGATTCTCTCCCTTGGGGGGGAAAAAAGCCAACTAAACTCATAGTATATTAGGTCCCTCCTAGCCCCTCTTCAATTCTCACCACCTGACTGATGATGTCTTGAAATACTTCAATACAGAACAAAGTCTTTTAATATACAGAAATTAAAGGCTTTACACACAAATAGCATATTAATGGGGAATTTATATACACTTAAGTGCAATCTCTTCACTATTCCATAAGTGTAAATGGCTGATATAAAATGAGAGGCAGCATAATGAATAGTGGAAGGACCTGGATTCAAAACTAGCTCTCCCACTTATTGCCTGTATGTAGTCTGTGTTCCTATGTAAAGGATTTGCAGTTATCAAAGACAACTCAATATGGGGGAAATAATTAGCAAAGTAAATCATATTTAAAACAAATTATATCAATAGTTGGAGAAAATATAAAAATAGATGTCAAAAATTGACATCTATTTTATGTTAACTTATAAATGTTATATGATGATCATGATAACATGGACTGCAGCGTTTACTGGCCAGCAGTATTTCTATATCAATATGCATCATCTGTTGGACTACACTTATATTTCACTGCAGGAAAACTGGATTAAGTTAAAACTGAGCTTAGAGGAATAAGGACCGTTAACACTTCTTCTCACCTAGATACTTCATAAGTGCCTTTCAAATTCTCATGGCTGAGTGTCAAGAATAAAACCTTATTTTCCTATCAAAAAACAACCTTCTCACCTTGTTTTTTGCATCACTGGGAACACCTTCAGGAATTGCTGGTGCAGATGCTGCTTCATCTAAGTAAGAGCTGTCTTCATCAGCTAAGAGCTCATCACCAAGTGCATCCAATTCTGAAAGAAAACCAATGAACTCTGTATTAACTAGTCAATTTTCTAGGAAAAATATATTTGAGAAATTAGACAACCAAAATGCCAAGAAAATTAATGGCATTTTGGTAAGTGTGAAAAGGCGTAAGAAATTCCTTTGGTTCATATATGTTAATTCATTTGTTGAACTTGTCTTCTTAGTAGGAAAAATTTTTTAAAAAGCAGCATGGGAAAGGCCAGCAGCATGTTGCTGTGGAAAAGAGGACTTGGTGGAGTCAAAGGACATGGGTTCAAGTCTAGCCTCTGCAACTCACTATCTCTGTGTGATCTTGGACAATTCACTTGCCCACTTTGGTCTTAGCTTTCTCCTCTATAAAATGAGGTTAGCTTAGACCAGAAGTTCTCAGAGTGTGATCTGGGGACATCTACAGGTCCCAGAGACCCTTTCAAAGGGTCTGTAAGGTCAAAACTATTTTCATAGTAACACTAAGAAGTTTTAATTTCTAATACAGTAAATATCAACGGACATAACCCACATAAACAAAAGCTCTTGGAGGGAAAAGAAATTCCTCATTAATTCCTAAGAATGTAAAGGGAGTCCTGAGACCAAAAAGTTTGAGAACCACTGTCTTAGTCAAACTGAGGTCCCCTGCAACTCTAAGTCTATGAAATTATAACCAATGTTGGATCATAAGAACAGTTTTACAGCTGGCCAGACCTCAGAGTTTATCTAGGTCAACCCCATCATTTTACAGATGAAGAAATTGAGGACATGAAGATTAAATGGCTTGCCCACTGTCACAATGTTACATACATTATGACTAGGCCCCATCCTGATGCAGTTATAACATAATTGACAATTAGACACACAAATCCTTTCTGTTCCCTACCTGAGTAAAGAGAACCTGAAAACCAGATAAAAGTGTTCCATATTGGATGGCACTCATTTTTCCGGCCAGGGACTATGGTACAAAGTATTACTGAGGGAGTGGTACAGTCTTGAGCAAAAGTGTCAGACATGCAGTCTGCACCAGATTAAAATGTAATTGGGAAATATTCAACAAAATAAAAATACAACAAAATATAGACAACTTTATATTTTAAAATTGTCAATCTGCAGCCCATGAGGATGGTTATGTATAGTCTAATGGCCTCCATTTATATTTGAGTTTAACATGACTGGTATTAAGGACACCCTCATCTGCCAATTAATGAAGGGAAAAGGTGTTGGGAGGAATGAGACATATCTGTATGAAATCAATTCCTTGTAAAGAACTAATTTAAGTTTTTATATTTTGTATTTTGGCCAAAGGAAACACTTTATGTTTATAACTTGTTTCCTATGGAACCAAGTAATAATCACTACAGTATTATTTCAATTAATGTCATTGTTAATTAAATGACTTTATATGGTTATCTTTTACACTTGTGGTTACGTTTTCATGTGTATATTTCTTATTTTCTCTACTAGTTGGTAATATCTTACAGTAAGTGCCTTGTGGATCTGAAATCAGGACCTTAGTTTAAAAGTTTGCTCTGCCAATTACTTGGGATAAGCAATAATTTTGATATAGTTTCATTTTATGATGGTAAAGATCATGCATGTGTGCTTCTACTGCCACTAGGCTGACTCACAATATCTGACCCAAAAGGAAACTGGATTAAGCTGGTTTCTCCACCTTAGTTATAATTAGTTCTCACTCAGACAAGTGCTGGATTTTGTACCATACACATGTGTTTCATTACTCTCTTTTGTTGTACTTTAAATTCTATGGTCTTTAAGAACGGATACAATGCTGAAGAAACTTGCAAAAGTTGTAGTGCTTAAAAGAACAACTTTTAGCTAATACTGCAGCAGCTTTAAACAGCTTTCAATGTTAAGTCAAGTATTTTCAAGGATCAAACCCATAACGAAAACAGGACTATAGAAGCACAAAGGAAAGTGGTTAGAAACAAAAAACAATGTCCAGACCTGACAAAATATTGCTGCAAATAGTCTAATTAGTCCTTAGAAAACCAGTAAGGACTTTCTGAGGGGCCTGGAACTTAAAAGGGGTGATACTGATTTCTCTACAGCAAGGCTTCTTAACCTGAGGTCCATTATCTTTTTTAAAAAATTATTTTAATTAAAAATTATTTTGACATTTCAATATAATTGGTTTTCTTATTTTATAGATTTAAAAACACTATTCTGAGAAGTTCACAGGCTTCACCAAGCTGCCAAAGGGCCTAAAGCACAAAAAAGGTTAAAAAATGGAGTTCTAAAGTATGTCATAAGCTTTTTTTTTTTTTAAGGCAATTGGGGTTAAGCGACTTGCCCAGGGTCACACAGCTAGTAAGTGTCAAGTGTTTGGTCAGAGGCCGCATTTGAACTCAGGTCCTCCTGACTTCAGGGTGGGTGCTCTATCCACTGCACCACCTAGCTGCCCCATCGTGCCACCTAGCTGCCTCTCATAAGCTTCTTGAAGTTGGTAGAACAGTGAGATGACCAGTTCGGAAAAAAAAAATCACTGCTAATCACTTTTATGAAGAAAAAACATTTGTTGTGGACAAAACATTATGAAAAATCAGATAGAGAACAGGTTAAAAGAAAGAATGAAGTGTGGAGTAGAATGGTAAAGGAATCCAAAGAAAAAGGAAAAACATTGTATAAAACAATGGAGTTTGAAGGGCTAGAATTTCAAATGTCTTACTACCCTATCCAATACAGGGATCCCTCTGACTGAGGCTGGTCATCTATGCCTCTTTCCATAGTATTTCTTTTTTTTCTTTCTGCTTTACTGATTCTAAAGAAAAGGGAATTGAAGAAACAAAGAGACAGGAAAAAGAAAGTCTCTCCTTCCAGAAAAGACAAGAATGGAAAATGTATGAACACCACCCTGAAGGTTCTCAGCGACACCTGCCTCCCTAATTCTTCCTTGTGAGTTTCAGTTAATGAGAGCTGCTAAATGGAAAAGATAACTAAAATTCCTGACATTTCTGTTTCATATTCTCTTTTCCTTGAATTATGTCATAATTTTTGCCTTTTCTTATGGAAAACTGGCAGTCCCAAGCACTGAATGGAAAGGACCATAAACAATCGGATCTCTGTTACTCACCCGCCTCTAAGTCATCTTCATCAATCTCTGGGGTTCCATAACTCCGGCTCAGCGCTTCTTGGATTTCATTTGCATCTTCCATCATATCTTCTAATTGGTCTTGTATATCCTAAATGAATTTTTTAAAAAGCACTGACTCACATATTATTTTCTTTTTCTGTACCCTCCCCCTCCAATTTTGAGGAAATGATCAGGCTTTGGTTATTAGCAGCAGGAGGAACTACGCTAAGAGCTTGTCTGGAGAAGTTAAATGGTCAAGGAAGAAGAAATTTAATGGGAAAACTGGGAGAGAGGCAAAGCCCCAGAAAAACTGTTGGTAGAAAATAAAAGAGAACATCGGATTAACAGTGCAGGAAATGTCATACACAACAGCAACAGACAGCTTTATTCACATAATTCCTGCCTCTTTTTAGTAACAAAGAATTACTTAAAATGGGAGAAATGTGTGGGTAAATATGCTAATTTTTTCTTTTAAACTTAAGAGTCTTCCTCAAACTTTCCGTAAGAGGAGACTTAGATAAACATATAAATTAAGTAAACATCTCTACTGGCAACCCTTGATTATCTAAGTTAATGGATGAAAGCAGGAGTTGAATAATTGCCAAAAAAGCAACCCATTGCCACTGAAGGCATTAGGAAATGAGGAAATCCTGTTACATAGGCAAGGAGAAGTGTGAAGCTCTGCTGGATGGCACTGATGAAAGATAGAAAGTGAGGCTCCTATTAGGTCAGACTTATTAACTGTTTCTGTGCTATGGACCCCATTTCCAAAAATGTTTTTAAAAGCATAAAATACCTAAGATTACAAAGGAAACCTATTGTATTAAAAGTTATCAAAATACTAAAAAGAACAAATTTGCAGATCCCTTGACTATCACAGTCCCCAGGTTAAGAATAACTATGTTTTGGGGCAGCAGTGGATAGAGCACTGGCCCTGGATTCAGGAGGACCTGAGTTCAAATCTGGCCTCAGACACATCACACTTACTAGCTGTGTGACCCTGGGCAAGTCACTTAACCCCACTGCCTAGCCAAAAAAAAGCAAAAAAAAAACCCTCCAACAAAACAAAGAATAACTATATTTTGAATGTATAAGTAAAGTGTCTATCAGACTGTACACCATCTTGGGGAAGAGAAGGAAACGGAGGATGAGAAAATTTAAAACTCAAAATCATATGGAAGTGAATGCTGAAAACTATAGATAAATCAATTATATATATAAAAAAAGTATAACTATGTTAGATGGACAGATGGAAACAGGTTCAGTAAAGGTATAGTGATGAGGGATGAGAGGAACTCAATCATCCCTAATTTGGTGGTCTGCATGTCTATATCAGAGCTGACCGCATTCTAATATCCAAGGCCAGAAATGAACAAAACTGAAATTCCCTCTAAGACTACACAACACAGCTGTCCTATACCTGGCCTTGAACTTAGATGTAAGCAAAGAATACCACACATGTAAGAACTGCTGCATTCAGATCTATTCTTAACCTGCCCAAGAGACTAAGAATTGCTGAAGGTTTTTAGTAGTAAAAATAAGCTATGCCAAAAAGAGTGGCACACAACCTTTAGGCTATTTCAGAGTACCCACACACCCTTTGCTCGTTTTCCCGTTTTAACTTATCCAGTTCTTGTGATATATTCCCACAACCATTGGTGCTTGTTAACATCAAAGTATGAAACTGGTGCCATTTTATCCCTTTGGAGATGTGATACAAAGCATTTCAAAACTAGTCCAAAATGTGTGTGGTGGTTTTAAAAAAAAAAAAAGGTAGAAAATAATATACACCAAGTTAAAAGAGAGAAATTGCTAGAGCCACGCTTCTGCATTTCTAAGTATCAATCTCGAGAGGTCCAATAGTATAAGTCCACTAAAAAAATTAGCTAACATCAAAGTAAAAGAGATAGAGAAAGAAATAAAAGCAGCAGTTAATAACAAAGAGAAACAGAGCAGGCAAAGACTAAGAACAAGAGGACTGTATAAAGAAAGTACAAAGAAAGCTAAAGAGATCTTCCAAACGCTTGGGAAACGTACTAACAACTACAACGGGCTCTACAGCCAAGGGACCTACAGGAAGATATGGAAAATAGCGCCCCCCTCCCAACCACAAAGAATTGGCAAAGACTTAAACGAACATAAAAAGGGGGGAAAAATAAGCAAGCCAAGACGGAGAAACAAACACACTAAAGAATGTGAACTAAAAGTTAGAAGTTCAAGGAGAAATGAGTTATACGTGTATAGAAAAAAGAAAAGGAAACAGAAGACCAAAAGAAATTTTAGAAAAATGAAAAAGTTTAGGAAAAGTAACAAAAATTAATAATGGGATTCAAAACAATACACACAAAAGCAGAACAAAGAAAATAAGATTCAAACACAGAAAGAATGACAGAGAGAAGATAGAAAAACCAGGTGAAACACAATTAACATGTCCATAGAAATATTCAGATAGAGGTAAACAAAAGGATGAGCAGAAGACAGCAGGGAAGCAGACAGAAGACACAGGAAAAAGGGAGCAAGGCAGGCAGACACAAGAGGCAGACAGATCTGTAAGCTGGTGGGAGAGAAACAGACAATGGACATTTGTGATCTAGCAGGCGGAAGAGAGGCAGAAAGATCATAGAACAAGTGAAGAGGGCATGGCACACAAAGCATGGGATGATAGATAAATACACCAGAGACACCAAAGGCTTCACTTTCTTTAAAACACATACTTAGATGGAAAGTATGACATTCTATTTTAATCTAGTCAATTTTACCATTTTAAGTATTTGTAGCAAAGGCTATTTCTTCAACAAACCTTTCCCTTGTTTAACCTATGTTGCAGAAAGTATACTTATGTACAGTTTATATATATATAAAGAGGTTTTGTGGAGATGGTAGAGGGTTTGGGGGGTAACAGTTAAAGAGATACTTTGGAAAAAAGCAAGTGTTTCTATAAGACTTAGAAAAAATAAAGAGTGAATGCTCTTTTTCCTTTACTGAAAGATCCAGCAAGGCTGTCCCTCTGCAGATACAGCATCAGAGTCTAGGGTGAGATTACTCTTACTGCCTTTAAAAATCTTCCTGTTAAAGCTAAGCAAAGAATGAAAACACTGACAAATTTCTACAGTCCCAGAAAGGAAGTCTCAACCCCTTCCAGTTAAGGAGCATACTGTCTTTTTTTTCCTTGAGGCAACTGAGGTTAAGTGACTTGCCCAGGGTCACACAGCTAGTAAGTGTCAAATGTCTGGTCTGAGACTGAATTTGAACTCAGGTCCTCCTGACTCTAGGGCCGGTACTCTATCCACTGCACCACCTAGCTGCCCCACACTGTTCTTTTTACAGATGGCTGCTTCCTTAGATGATGAGTTGAAAACTAAATTCTTAAATGAAAAAGGTTGGGAGCAACTTGAGTTAATATAATCACCCCATCCCTTCTGAAAGAAAATCCCATTTTAGTGATTTATTAAAAATATAGTTATTACTAAAAATATAAAGATTTAACACCAGTTTGAGCCATTCTGACAGAAAACAGCATAATCTCACCTCAATCTGGTCAATTTTGACTTGCTTGTATGCTTTCTTCATTTCTTTTACACCTAATTTCATAGCATCCACCTAGAAAGGTAAAAAATTTTAAGTACATGTGATGGTTCCAATAGATCTTAAAATTTATACAAATGATTTTATTTATTACCGTTGTTTTGGTGTCTTTCAATGACTGGATGGTATAATTTGCTTGTTCCATATTAAAAGACTGTTGTGAAAGATTGTCCCGTTGTTGTTCATACCTATTCACATTCAAAGAGAGAATGTTAAACACGAGTCAATATTGTGGAAGTCAGGAAAAAAGTATCACAATGAGTGCTGCTGAAAGGGGATGTCATCAAAGCTGGAATCAGAAGTCACCAGGTTGTCTGGTTATTCACCAAGATTCGGCAAAGCCTTGCTTTGCCTAATTCCCACAACTGCCAGAGGATCCTGTCTGTCAGACATATCAAATGATCACAATTCATCAAATCTGTAGTCTGCACAACCTCAACCTACATCACAGAGGTCAGTCTATCTTCTCTCTGCTCTGCTCTGGATCACAAGGAAACTTTGGTTCTGTTTCTGGAACTGCCATTGCCTGAGGAAAGTGATGCTCTTCAAAGACTGCTGCTGGCCCACCTGTCTTACTTAAGTCCTCACTCTACCACTCTCATACCCAAAGGGAGTGACTGCTTTTAGTATCTTTCTTATTCTCTACTTCTTTCATCCATGGAGCACCTGCCCTCTCTGGAAAGTATTTGAAACCCATGTCCAACCGCTAAAATCCCCTATCTATATCCATCAATCCTCACTCTTATTAACAGCAATGATAACAGCTAACATTTATATAGTACTTACTATATGTCAGGCCCTTTACAATTATTATCTCTTTTGATTCTTACAACCACCTTGGGAGGTAGATGTTATTATAATCCTCATTTTACAGGTGAGGAAACTGAGGCAAATAGAGGTTAAGTGATTAAGGGTCACATAGCTAGTAGGTATCTGAGGCTGGATTTAAGAACTCAGGTCTTCTTGTGCTCTATTCACTTTGGCACCTCATTGCCCCTCTGGGAACCTTCTACTATTTATGCCCCTTCCCACCCTCACCAGAATCCCTGCAGCAGTTCAGGCAGATGGGGGTGAGGGGAAGAAGAAAAGAGAGTTCCTATTGTGGTATAATATAAAGAGGAAATTTCTTTTGGGGGGTAGGGAAAGGAAGGGCCTAAAGGGATAACTAATAATAATAATAATGATAGACATTTATATAGTTTACATAGTGCTTTAAAATTACAAAATGCTTAAAATACAAAAAAAATTATCTCATTTGAGCCTCACATATTGTGAGGTAGTTCATTATTACCAGTTATTATTATCCCCATTTGAAAGATGAGGGTACTGAGTCTCAGAGGGGTTAAGTGAATTGCCTGCCCATGACCACATAACTAGTGACAGAGAGGTGATCTGAACCTAAATCTTCTATTCTCTATGCCTGCAATCTCAAACTTTTTGGTCTCAGGATCCCATTACACTTCTTAAAAATTATTGAGGACCTCAGCAAGGTTTTGTGTATAGGGGTTACATCTATCTTACTGCATTAGAAATTAAAATGTCTTTATTTTTATGACCTCATGTTACCATGAAAAGTCTTGTCCTCACAAAATCCCCGAAAGGAATTCAGAGAGTCCTACAGGTGTTCAGACTACACTGACAACTGCTGTCCTGTGCTACGCTGCCATAAGTTCATGCTCTTTCCAGCAGAAACTTAGACCACGTTTTTCTCACAGAAATAAAGACAGATTTCACAGTGAAGTTCAGCCATGCCACAGATTAAACAGGTACACTTGGGTTATCCTGAGACTCAGTGATATCTCTTTTTGGCAATGTTTCTATTAGAAATGTGTCCAGAGTTTTAATCAACCAACTTACATATGAACTTTTGGAATGCAACCAGTACATAAGTTTAAACAAAACACTTATCAACTTCAAACTATTAAACACTTAAATTCAATCAGCTAAACAAATTTCTTGTATTTTTCTTTTTACTGTTTATGCTAAAGGTAGACAAGGACAGCATGGGAAAATGAAAGGTACATTATAATCCCCAATCTTTATTTTAACTATTTCTATCAATTCCACCCTGGAAACTTTTACATAAAATTGGCTAACAAGGAGCAATACCAATTTTGCATTTTACTTCTCTCTTCCATTCTTTGATACTAATACAAAAAAGCAAGTGAATGCACAAAAGATGTCTGAAAACATGAAGATAAGAAAGGAGAATTTTTTTTTGTAGGCAATGGGGTTAAGTGACTTGCCCAAGGTCACACAGCTAGTAAGTGTCAAGTGTCTGAGGCCAGATTTGAACCCAGGTCCTCCTGACTCCAGGGCCAGTGCTCTATCCACTGTGGCACCTAGCTGCCCTGAGAATTTTTTTTTACAAACTTCATTATCTATTCAAACTAGATAATTAATAATTAACTATATACTAAAATGCTGACATCATTGAAAATAAAGAAGGGATGGGTCTATAATATGCAATTGGGATGGAGAAAATCCCCACAAAGAGTTGTACGATGTAGCCAATGGCAGACGCTATGGAGATACTAAACTTTCTGTTACTTTACAGTACTTGCAGGGGAAAAAAACCAGGTCATAGAATCATAAAGTTTAGAGCTAGAAGTGACCTCAGAAGATCATTTAGTCCAACCCCTTCATTTTACGAGGACAATGAGTAAGGTAATAAAGTGACTCGCCTCACATAACTGTATATGTAAATACTCAGTAAAATGAGAACGCTCATAAAATGTTAGCTAAAACATAAAAAAAGAAAAGTATTTTTCTTTATATGAAACAAGTTTGATTTAGGGAGATTATGGCAATAACTTACATTCGTTTCTGCTTTAACACTCTCAAGGCTTTCTGTTTTACCATATTCTGAAAGCAAAAAGAAAATTACACTTGAATTTAAAGAAGCTGAAAACTGACCCAGTCAAATTGTATAAATTGTACAAATTCTCCAATTTCACTCCCTGCTAGCAGAATTGTGGTGACACTAGCTCTTCCTCCACAATAAATCTGGGGATGCGCCAAGGCTATGTCCTAGTAGCCTCTACCATCCTCTCTTTACTCTTAATTCTTGGGGAGTTAGAATATTCATGGCTTCAACTATCATTCTTTAAGCAGCATAGACTGAAAGCTATGAATCCAGCCCAGATCTATCACTGGAGTTCATCTCTATCCATGTTACCTAAATGTCCTTGAATTCTATGACCCAAAACCAAACTCACCTTTGTGTTTACTCCCTATATATGTATATTCCCTATATATGTACTTATTGTCTCCCAAATAATATAAGCTCATTGTAAACTGAGATTATTTCATTCTTTGTATCCCCAGTGTATACAACGTAGTACCTGGATCTTCCCAATCAAAATTCCAAGTTGCCCCCATTAAACCATGCCCTCCCTAAACACTATTCTAACAATTCATTAGATTGTTGTTTAACCTCCTGAAATCACTAGTTCCATGGAAGTGAAAATTCACCTACCCTATAAAGTCTTAAAGGTAATAAGATAGTAGCGGGCAAGCCCAAGGCTCACTACTGGGGCAGAGTCCCAGTTCTCATCTTTACTCCAGTCAAACCTCTGGGTCAGAGATCATCATTTCCACCCTCTGCCTTTTGAGTCCTGCCCTACCCCGTCCTGTCTGTCCCTTCTTTCATCAGCGTCACCCCTTTCTCTTGGGCTTTTCCCTGGTCAATCAATCAGTGAGTATTTGTTAAGAGCCTACCTACTATATACCAAGTACAGTGCCAGGTACTGGGGATATAAGTTCAAAGAAGGAAACAACTCCTACTGGAAGGAGCTTACATTTTAATGGAGGAGACAACATATAAATTATGTACATAAACATTATGTATAAAGTATTTATGAAGACAGCATATAAAGCATATATAAGTATATATATAAGTGTATATATAAAATAAATTATTAATAAATTTCTTAATAAATATATTTATAAAAATATAAAGTTAATAAACACAAATACATATACAAAGTAGTTTTTTAAAAAAAGGTACTCTGGGAAGCAGCATTCTAGTGACTGAGGGAGCAAGGAAAGACTTCTTGCAGAAGATGGTGCTTAAGCTATGTTCTAAGGGAAGAAAGGGTCTTTGAGGCAGTGTAAAGAGGGGATCCTGGGCCGGTGTGATGAAAGGTACTGGGAACTGACTTGCTATAGATGAGAAACACCATTGTTCAGCTGGGTCAAAGGATGCAGGATTTGGAGTAGTGTCCAATGAGGCTGGAAAGATAGGTCTGGGGTCTGGTACAAGCTGAACCAGAGATTATATTTTATCCCAGAGGTAACAGGAAGCCAAAGGATTTAACTGAATAGGAGAGTCACATGGTCAGAGCTGTATTTAAGGAAAATTACTTTGACAGCTTGGGGAAGACAGACTGGAGACTTGAGGAAGGAAACTCATTAGGAGGATGCTGCAATAAGCCAGAGGACTTGAACTAAGGTGAACTATGTGGCTGTACGAGAAAATTGGTCAGATTTGAAAGAAGCTGTAAAGGTAGAAACGGCAAGATGCGACAACTGAGATATTTATTTCTCCTCATTTCTTACCTAGCTGCACTCCTTTAAGACTTATCTGACTGACTTTTCCATCACCCCCCAGGAAGCTCATTAGTGGGATAACCTCTTCATCCTGCAAGACCTCACCAGCCTTGGTACTCCACCTCATCATTACCCTCTGCCTCTCTGACTGGAGGGTGGGGCCAGGAACTTCAAACCTCCATTTAAGGAGAAAGGTCAGCTCAGACATCTCATTTCTCACTTGGCTGCACTATTCTGGGACTTCACCATGTCCCAAGCTGGCTGCCTTCTCCTCCCTCCTACCTTTTAGCTTCCTTTTGTGTGTTGTCTTTCCCCATTAGATTGTAAGTTCCTTGAGGGCAGGGACTATTTTTCTTTTTTGGCATTTGTATCCCCAGTGCTTAGCACAGTGCCTGGCATATAGCAGGTGTTTAATAAATGTTTATTGACTATTGATATGCAGGATAAGGAAGAGTAAGCTGTCAAGGGTAACATGGAGGTTATAAAGGTGGGATACTAGAAGGACGGTGGTGTCTTCAACAGAAAAAGAGAAGTTTGTTAGAGGAAAGGGTTTAGGAACAAACGGACATTTTGAGTTTAAGATGTCAGTCAATAAATTGCCTACTATGTGCCAGACCAGACACTGTGTTGAATGCTGAGGATACAAAAAGAGACAGAAGATAGTCCCTGCCCTCAAGGAGCTCACAGTCTGACAGGGGACACAACAAGCAAACAAATATATACAATAAATCATATTCAGGATACATAGGAAATAATTAACAGAGGGAAAGGCATTAGAATTAAAGAGGGGTTGGAAAAGGCTTCCTCTAGAAAATGGGATTTTAGTTGGAACTTAAAGGAAGTCGATGAAGTCAGTAGGTGGAGACTGATTGTAGGGAAGATGGCCAGGAAGAGAACTGAGGGGTCAAGGGATTGGAGATAACAATGTTGATGAAAAGTACGGTTTATTAGAATGAGGTGAAAGAGCCAATAGACTGTGGTCAGAAAAGGGGATTTCAGAATTCCTGAAAATGGAGGTAATACATTTGTGAATGACAGCAGTATGAAGGATATGACTATCTTTGTGTATGGCTGGGGGGGGGGAAGGAATAGCTCATGGAAAGTGAGCAGTTAGTTGTCTTCGAAGGAGAGTCAATATGTATGTTGAAGTCTCCTAAACGGAGGGAGTTGGGGAGAAGAGAAAAAGAAGAGGAGTAACCTGGAAGTCTGCAGACAATAGCTACCAGAATTTTGATTGGGTCGTAGATATAAATAGCATATCTCCTCCTCCTCAAAAGAAGAGAGGTTACTGAGCAATGGGGGTAAGGAAAGAAAGTGGCAGTGATAAGAGTCTCAAAGTAAAAAGTATTCGAAGTCCTCTGACTTGACAAGTAAGCCAAGGGGTGAAGGTGCAGTCAGTACTGGAAAGGGTGACTCTGGGTCATCAAAAGGGAGCCAGGTTTCAATAATAGCTAGATGGAAGGAATGGGTGAAAAAAAAAAGATTTAGGATGTTGCCTATGGAACAGGCATTCTAGAGAGCAAAGTGGAAGGGGTATGTGGTGGCTGGGTTGGAACTCTGAGATGGGAAGGCTGAAAGGGAGAGCTACAGAGAGGTGATAGTTAAATTCATGGGAGCTAATGAGGTTACCTTGAGTGTGGAGAGAAAGAAGAGAGTCTAGGAAAGATGCTTCAGGAACATCTCTTTTGTACTGCTCACTTATCTTTGAACTTTATTCCATATTACACTTATCTGTGTTTGGCTAATCTCCCCACTACTAGGTTGCAAGCTCCTTCACAGAAAATACCATATCTTATTCGTCTTTGAATTCCTCTAAAATTCCTTGCACATAATAGGCATTTAATAAATGTTTGTTGAATTTAACTCAGTTGTGTCCTCTTTATATGTTTCTACTGTAATTCTCAATAGCATCTATTACAATGCTTTGCTCCCCCTCCCAAGATATTTAAGTCACTTAAGCATTTAAAAATTCCTATAAACTTCACTAATGTGAAAATATGTTTAATGGGTACGTAAATGTAAAGCCTAGGTCAGATTGTGCGCCGTCTTGGGGAGGGAGGGGGGAAAGGGAGAAAACATTTTCAACTCAAAAGCATATGGAAAAAATAAAATAAAAAAAATAAAAATTTAAAATAAAAAAATAAAAATTCCTATAATACAGCAACTTCCGAAGCCCATTTCATCTTACCTTTGCAGGTCCTTCTCTCATCTTTTTTATCTGATCTTTATACTTTACTAGCTCTGCATCAAGTCTAGAAATTTTCTTGTCAATTGATTCTGCCCGGCTATCAACCTTTAGAAGGAAAAGAAAGAATAGTTACTTCAATTTAATACATAACTATGTAATACAGGCACACATGGGCAGGAGAGAAGATGGAAGAAAGAAAAGAGGAGAAAAGGAAGAGAACACATACACATTTAGAAGGGAGTGATAGATAATAATACCACCTTACACTGGTATAGTCCTTGGGCTTTCACATACCATATCTCATTTAATCCTCATAACTCTGAGATAGGTAGGACAAGTCTTATTATTCCCATTTTATAAGGTAAATGGCTTGTCTGAGGTCACAGTGACTAGTAAGTAGCAGAGTTGCTACTAATATCTAGGCTTTTTGCTTCCCAGTCCAATGCCCTGGCCCCTATATCTATGGAACTACAGATAATCTGTTTAAATTATGAAGTTGCCACTTTACTGCCCTGACGCTATACCCCTACCCTAGAATCACGGCTGCAAGGACTGCAAAAAGGTCATCTAGTTTAACTAATTTTTATGGATAAGTCATACAAATGAAGTATTCTCAATAAATAGTTCAAAGATTCATGGCTTTATCTGACATGGCTCTTTCACCCACTGACATACAGTGAAACAGAGAATCTCAATATTAGAAGAGACATCAGAGGTCACCTCCTACAACCCACATCTGGAAAAGAATCCCTCCAATAACATCCCCAATAACGGTCCTCTTGTCTTTGCTTGAAGATGACCATTGAGAGGAACCATCTAGGGCAGCCTATTCCACTTTTGGATAGCGTTAAGAGTGAGGAAGATTTTCCCGATATCTAGAGTAAATCTGTCTCTTTGTCCCATGGCTGGGCTCCCAATTCTAGCCTGGGGACAAGCAGAACAAACTGAATCTCTCTCTACATGAAAGCCCTTTAAATACTTGTAGACAGTTATCATATTCCTCTAAGTCTTCTCTTCTTCAGGTTAATTTCTTCAAACAATCTTTCTACAGAATGATCTCAAGGCTCTTTACCATCCTGATCACCCTACTCCAGGCACCCTTCAGATTATCAATACCTCTCCTAAAATGAGGCATTCATAATGCTCCGAAGGATGTGGTTTAACCAGAACAGAATACACTGGGGCTGTCACTTCCCTGATCTCCATAGGAGGCCTCTCAATGAAGCCTAAGGTTCCTTATCATTCTACTCATATTTAGCCTGCAGTTCAGTTCAGTAAAGCCTTTTAAAGCTTAGTAGATGGTTTTTGTGAACTGCAGTGCTCAAAAATCTTATCACCCATGGCTGCAATGAACTTAGGTTCACACTGGCATAACAGACATTCAGTCTGGTATTGGGCCCATAGCTAAAGCCTTTCCAACTTGGTAGGAAGTGACAAAACATAACATTTGGCTGGTCATTTTCAAGAACCCAGGGTTACCGCCACACTATAAAAAGGCATCAGAGAGTGGGACTTTAGTGGAGGTTCTCAATAAACACCTTGTAGTACAATTTTCACATCTCAGAATGATGAATGGTAACGTACTATGTTGTATTTTTTTGGGGGGGGTTTCAGGTAATTGGGGTTAAGTGACTTGCCCAGGGTCACACAGCTAGTAAGTGTCAAGTGTTTGGTCTGAGGCCAGATTTGAACTCAGGTCCTCCTGACTTCACAGCCAGTTGTCTATCCACTGTGCCACCTAGCTGCCCCTAATGTACTATGTTGTAAAAGATGATAGACAAGAGTCAGAAAACCTGAGTTCCAGGGCTGACCATGTTATTGCTGGTTGGGTAACTTTAGTTCAATCCCTTCATCTTTCTAAGACTCAATTTCCTCATTTGTGGGAAGCAAATAAGTGGAATAAAAATCTCTTCCCTGTATACTTTATAGGTTTATCGTGAAGGTACTGAGATGTAGTAGAAAGAGTGACCCTTGGAGTCAAGGGTCCTGAGTTCAATTATTTTTTGTTATTTTGTTACTAATTATCTATGCAAGCCTCTCAAAACCTCAGTTTCCTCACATGTGAAACAACATTTAGACTAGATGACCTCTGAGATCCCTTACAATGCTAAATCTATGAACGTGTAATAAACAAAAATGATGTGTACAATACCGTATATAACTATAAGGAATTATTATCAATGATGAAAGCGAAGGTATGTTTTCTCCTGAGTACAATGATAACTAACGCTTCCCATTTCAACAACAGCCATTTATTAAGGGCTTTATAAACACTCAGTTCCCCTAGTGGAGGAAATATGTAAAGACCTGGACAAAAGTCTTATAGGCTGATAAGGTATGGATAGGTTGAGATCTGCTGAAGGCAATATTCACCCAAACTGATAGGATCACAAATCTATAAAAGTATATACAGAATACTATAAAAGATCAGTAGTGTCAAACTCAAAACAGAAACCTAATGGGCTGCATATTCACTTAGAAAAGCACATATTAACATTATGTATGTTTTACTGTATTTTTTATTTTGTTTAAATATTTCCTAATTATATTTTAATTAGGAGTGTTAGCTGCATGTGTATTTGATATCTCCTTATTAGACCCCAAGATATAATGATGAAAATAAACATATAGGGCAGCTAGGTGGCGCAGTGGAGACAGCACCAGCCCTGGAGTCAGGAAGACCTGAGTTCAAATCTGCCCTCAGACCAGACACTTGATACTTACTACCTGTGTGACCCTGAGCAAGTCACTTAACCCCAATTGCTTTGGGGGAAAAATGGACACAATTCTTACCCTCAAAGAGCTTACAACATAGTAGCAGCAGAGATACAGTATGACCATGGGTAAAGGACTACCCTTGGGGTCAAGATGATATGAATCTAAGTCTGACCTGATATTTATTGTGACTCTGGGCAAGTCACTTGATTGCTTAGCGCACCTGGCAATTTTCTGAGGCTGTAAATGGTAGAACAGTTGCTGGTCTGCTTTGGTTGAGAGAGTTCCATACACTGAAGAAATCAGTGTGTTAAACAAAAGGGATGACATCTAGATTCTATCCAGATGAATTAAGTGCAAAGGTTCTGACCCATTTTTTTGTGTGCCATGGCACACACAAGTATATTTTTGACAGGTTTGGTGAAGCCCATGGATTCTTTGTAGAATAATTTAAGAATCATAACTGAAGGAAATGCTAAATTTCAGTTAGAGGTAAATGAAAATAAAGGTGTTTTTCACCCCATCCACCTTCAATAATCCCCTGAAATCCAAGATATGAAATCCCACCAGCCTTTGTATTAAATCTCATCACCTCTTTCTGCCTCTCTGATTGGAGGGTGAGGCTGTATACTCCAAACTTCCATTTGAAGTGATAGCTCAGCCTGGACATCTTTTCATTTCTCACCTTAGGATTTCTCAGACTTCACTATGCTCCCTGCTGGGTCCATGATTATATTGTAATATCCTTGAGGACAGAGACTGTCTTTCTTTTTTCTGTATTTGTATCCCCAGCGCTTAGTACAGTGTCTAGCACATAGTAGGTGTTTAATAAATGTTTATTAACTAACAATTGTTTATTAAAGGGGGATCCAAGGACCCCAGGTTAAGAATTCTTGCTCTAGACTAGAGCTAACTGACAGCTAGGAAGCCAGCTCCCAAATGGAGTCGGCAAGACCAGTTCAAATCCGGCCTTAGACATTTTCTTTGCCATGTGACCCTTGGGGCAAGTCACTTAACCTCCCATCTGTCTCAGGTTTCCTCGACATCATCTATGTTTTATTTTATTTATGTTGTTATCTTATTTATAACATCTATTTTATTGTATTTTCATTTTGCTAAGTATTTCCTAATTACATTTTAATTGTGTTGCGGGCCACATTCATGCTTGTTACCTCTGATTTAGACCTTGATATCCAGTGATGAAAATGGACACAGTTCTTGCTTTCAAAAAACTTACAACATAGAAACGGCAGGGAATCAGGTGACCAGAGGCAGTGGGCTGGCCTTGATGTCAAGAAGAACTGGGTTCAAATACCACCGGATAATTTATTGTGACCCTTGGGGCAAGTCATTCAACCTCTTGTCTACCTCAGTAGTCCTCAACTGCAACAAGAGGATAATAATAACACCTACCTCCCAGGGACCTCGTGAAGATCAAATGAGAAAACATGCGTGAGTCATTTGGCAAGCCTTTAAGCTCCACGCACCTAGACGTGTGCTCCTGTCAGCTACTATTGTCCCCAGATTCTACATGGATGGCTCCAGATTCCACACGGAATGAAGCGGGGTTCCTGCTCCCTCAGGGGCTGCTGACACCTTGGGCCCCTCCCCCTCGACCCTTTCCCGTAGGAAAGGGAAGTGGCCCCTGGAGGAAGGGGTGTGGGAGGCATCTCCCCCAACTCCCCAGGTTCTTTTCTTTCTCTCATCCCCCCCCGCCCCGCCCCCTCATTCTTTCTGGTCCCCACCATCAACCCATGCCCGGGGGTAAGACCCCCCTCCCCCTGCGGTTGTACAGATTCGCTTCCAGGGTCCCCGGATGGGGTTGGGGAAGGGGACGCAGCGCTGCCCCTCTCCCCCTCCCCCGCTGCCCGATCCCTCGGGATCTCGGGCAGATTCGCCCCCGGCATCCCGGGGGAAGAGGGCCGGGCCGGGGTCCCCGGCAGGTGAGACAAGGCAGCGGGGGTTGGGGGTCCCACTCGGCCAAGGTCGGTGCTAGCTCACCGTGCCGATGCAGTCGGTCAGGCTAGGCGGCGGCGCCTTGGGCTTCGCTTTGCCGAAGAATCGGTTCATTTTTTTCAGCTACGGAGAGTCTCAGCTGGGGAAGCGGAAAATTCCTAACAAAACCGGAAGCGAAACTACCACACTTCCTCCGCCCGCACCCCGGCCTCGCTGTCCTCGCCCCCTTCGGGCTTCCGCCCCGCCAGGGGGCCTGTTGCGCGTGCTCAGTCTGCGCGCCCGAGATGATCCGGGCGCCGCAGGATTATTTAGTCCGGGTTTTCCAAGCTACCCAGGGTCTGAGCGTCCCTAGTCCTGGAGATGCGAACACGACCGGGATGCAAAGGGAGTAGTTTACCTGGGAGAGAGAGAGATGGAGTCATCGGCGTGGTTCTGGGCTTAGGGAATTTGGAGCTGGAAGGCCCCCCAGACATCATGTAGTCCAGGCGTACTTTTTGACCTTTGTGCGTCATACATACCTTTAGTAGTCTGGTGAAGCCTAGGGAACCCGAGAGAATAGTGTTTTCAGATGTATAAAATAAAATAAAATGTCCAGGATTACGAAGTAAAGCAATTATATTACCCAGATATTAAAAAAAATTCTAGACTCTAGGTTAAAAATTCCTGCTCTACAGCTGTGAAAGATTTAGCTACTCTGATAAATATAATTCCAAAGGCTTCATAATGAAAAATGCTGTCCACCTCCAGAGAGAGAGAGAACTGATGAACTTTGATTGGAGATGTGTTTTTCACTTTATTTTTGCAACATGGCTAATATAGACAGATGTTTTCCATGACTTCACATGTATAATTGGTATATTGCTTGCCTTCTCAATGGTTGGGGGAGGGAGAGAAGGAGAGAATTTGGAGCTCAAAATGTTTTTTAAATGAAGGTTAAAAATAAATTTTAAAAAATTCCTAATCTAGTTCATCCTATCATTTCATGGACAGCTGTAAAAATGTTCATATTAGAACATGGTATGTTAAAAGTAGGAAGGAACTTTAGATGTTTGCCATTCTGTCCACTCCCTACATTTTTCAGATGAGAAAATTGAGGCCCAGAGAGAGGAAAGGCCTTGCCCTTTTGCACACACTTCCTCTTGAAATAAATATTTTGTAGTTATTTACTTATGTACCTACTATTCCTCACTCTTCCTTATAAGCTCCTTGAGAGCAGGAAGTGTAATTTTAAAAAAATTATATGCCTATTACCTATCACAGTGCCTAACCCATAGTAGATGCATAATAAATACTTGTTGAATTAAATAGGGAAACTGAGAAGCAGAGAAGGGAGATGACTTGCCCAAGGTTACACAGGTAGTATGGTGAAGAACCAGGGATCTGATGTCCTCTAACTTAAAATACTATTTCCATACTTTCCCTCTTTTTAAGAAACCCCATTTCCAATGATTCTCATGGGTATAAAGTAACATTTTTTTTATATTTCAATAAATGTACAACTGATACTTCTACATGAGACCACAGATTTACATAGCACTATACATAGACAAGATCTGAGTTGAATTTGACCTCACAATCCTATCTTCAGATTCATTGTCCCTTTTAAAATTTCTCTAAAGAATCGTTTGTGTGTGTTACCTCATCTAAGAAACCAAATGTGAAGTGAACATGAATCAAGTATCCTCCTACTCTAGTAATGATTTCATTTTTGCAATTGATATAAATGTTACTGACCTTTGGCCCACAGGGAATAGAGAGACTTCAGACTTTTGGGAAATCCACCAAGTCCAAGAGGCCAGCCCTCTTCTCCTCCCCTGCCCTCTGTTGAACAGGTAGATTTGTTCACTCTTTTAGTTCCTTGTGGGCACAGCCAAAGGTCAGTTTTATTAATATGCATCAAAGTGAGTAAAATCCAAATCTACTTGATCATGGATCTAGAGATGGAACCCTAAAGGTCTATTAGTTTACAAATGAAGAAACGGAGACCCAGAGAGGTTAAGTGCCTAGACCAAGGTCATACCTATAGCATGTGGCAGATGGAGCTTTTAAATTCAGGCCAATTAGACTCCAAATTCAGAGCCCTGATTTGGTTCTGAACACTATTCTCTTTCTGCAAGACATAGGTGTTAACAAACATTTTAAAAACGAATGACTCAGTCTACAATGACAAATTTCTTTGCTGTTGAGTTACTTTTCAGTCATGTCCAACTCTTGTTGAGCCCATTTGAGTTTTCTTGGTAAAAGGTTGGAGTGGTTTGCCATTTCCTTCTCTAGCTCATTTTACAGACTAGGAAACTGAGGCCAACAGGGTTAGGTAACTTGCCCAGGGTCACACAACTAGTGAGTATTTGAGGTCACATTTGAACTCGGGGCTTCCTGACTCCAGACCAGGCACTCTATCCCTGTGCCACTTAGCTGTCCCAAATTTCTTTACAATGACTTAAAAATTAAATGAGCATTTTTCAAAAGTCTCACTCTTTTCTTTGGCCCAAAAAGAAAACACTTCTCTGAAACTCAGGTGTGGAAAGGAGATGTTAGTTTCTCTTATTTGGAGAAACTCCTTGTGCTAACTACATGATGACTCATAAGCAGCCATAAAACACAAAAGGATTTTTATTCATTCCTTCCAACACTTATTGAGTGCCTACTGCTTGCAAGATTTTGTATTAGGTGCTAGAAGATGCTAAGATGAAAGTCTTGTCCTTGTCTTTAGAGAACTTAGAGTCTACCAGGTTTAACTGAGATTAAATAAAGTACTTAGAGGTAAAATTAAGTGGTTATACAATATCTTTGAAGAAACTTTTCAAATGCTATAGAAAAATAGAATTTTTCTGAAGATTTTGAATAATCTTCTGCAGAAAAATGGTCTCATCAGTCAGGTTATATTCATTCATTCATCTGTTCATTCATCCATTCAACAAGTGATCATCAAAAACTTATTAATCTCCTATGCCTAGATTCTCTGTTAAGTGCTATGGATAAAAAGAAAGAAAAATCAGTCCTGTTCTCATGAACCTGGCAATCTGACTGGGGGAGACAACAAGGAAACAACTTTATAGGAACAAATTGGAGGCAATCTCAGACAGAAGGAATTAGCATGAAAGGGGACCCTGAGAAAGGCTTCTTTGCAGACAGTGGGATTTTAGCTGAGACCAGGAAAACCAGTAGGTGGAGATGAGGAGGAAGAACATTCCAGGCATGGAGGACAGACATTGAAAATGACCAGGGCCCGGAGATGGTCTGTCTTATGTGAGGAATAGAAAGGAGGCCAGTTACTCCCTTATGTGAAGGGCAGTAAGATGTAGCAAACATTTCATTGCCTCCCTGCTGTCTTCTCTAAAGTTAAATCTCTTTTGTAAAACTTAGAAGAAGAGATAATTTACACAAGTTCAATAAGCATTAAGTGTCTGGCCTACTATGTGTACAGTACTATATGTATATGACACTATATCTGTCTTCAAGGAGATTACAAACCTTTATTAAGAGCCTACCATGTGCTCTTTACATGCTTTACAAAGTGCTTTACAAAGCACCCTTTTATCCTTTTATCCTCATTTTATAGTTGAAGAAACAGGTGAATAGAGATTAAGTGACTTGCCCAGGGTCACACAGCTAGTGAGGGTTTAAGGCCACATTTGAACAGAAGTCTTGATGAGTGCAGGCCCATTGCTCTATCTCCTGCACCACCTACTGATGGGGTGCTTGGGTGCCTGTGCTTGGACCCCAATTTCTCCCTCGCTTCAGAAATACACTATCCCTGGCAGTTTTACCCCAGCCCAAGGACACTGTGCCTAGCAATTACTCATGAGTAGGCCTCAGCAAAATATTTATCTCTCTCCCTGGTGACACAAAGCTGGTTGAGAGAATGCTGAGCTGCTCCCAGCCTGAAGATCACATCTCTGGAAGCCTCCCAATTACTTAGTGAGCTCCTGTCTTTGTGGGAAAACTTTTCCTTGTTGCTAATCAGGACAGAGAGAGAGGAGTGTCTTGTCTGGCCCAAGGAGTTTTGTCCCTGGCTGGCCCTGGGACTGTTCCTTCCATCAGATTCCCAAGATCCTCTGACATCTCCTTCCCTGTCTGGTATATTCCCTATACTTTGCCATCCATAGCTCCCAAAGATACCTACACCTTCAGAATACCTAATCAGTATCCCTGGTATGCCTTTCCCATGCCCTTTTCCATATAAACCCTAGCTTTATCCTCAGTCTCTCGCAGGTTTCCTTAAGAATCCTTGCCTGCTGAAAAGCATAACAATAAATCTTTGCCAACTTGACTCAAAGAATGCTTGAGTCTGTGAATTCATTCCAGATGACCCCATGCTGTACTCTGGTCTTTGAGGGGTCTCAACCTCTCAGACCTCAACTCTACCTGCCTTGAAGTCAATCAACATTTATGAAGTGCTTGCTATATGCCAGGACTTGTGCTAAGCTCTAGGGATTAAAAAAAAAGGCAAAAGACAGTCTCTGACCTCAAGGAGCCTACAATCTATTGAGGGAGATAATAAGCAAACAAAAAAAATATACCAAGCAAGCTACATACAGGATAAATAGGAAATATTTTTTATTTTTATTATTATTTTTAATTAATTTATTTTGAGTTATCAACAATCACTTCCATATGCTTCTGAGTTTAAAATTTTTCTCCCTCTCCCTCCCCACCAGGCTCCTTAAGATGGTATACAATCTGATATAGGCTATACGTATACATGCCTATTAAACATATTTTCACATTAGTGATGTTGTAAGTAAGAATTAGAATCAATAGGAGGAACCACCAGAATGAGGAAACAAAACTCAACAGAAAGAAAAAAAATAGCAAATAGTATGCTATGATCTGCATTCAAACTCCATAGTTCTTTCTTTGGATGTGTTTAACATTTTCCATCATGAGGCCTTTGGAGATGTCTTAGATCTTTGTATTGCTGGGAAGGGTTAAGTTTATCAATATTGGTCATCAAACAACATGGCTGTTATTGTGTACAACGTTCTCTTGGCTCTGCTCACTTCACTGAGCATCAGACCATACAAGTCTTTCCAAGTTTTTCTGAAGTTAGCCTGTTCATCATTTCTTATGGCACAACAGTATTCCATTACATTCATATACCATAACTTGTTTAGCCATTCCCCTAAATAGGAAATAATTAACAGAGGTAAGGCACTAGAAAATGTCAAGGACACTTTATAGAGAACTGCGAAGTCTTCTGAAAGTTTAATCAGAGAAGGCTCTAAGTTGAACTAGGACTCTAAGAATGGCTAGGATTTTGACCAGAAGAGATGAAAAAGGGAAGGGGTGGGATAAGGACAGGATATTCCAGGCCTAGGGAACAGGAGCAAAGAAAGGTTGGAAAAGCAGAGATTCGGGAGGGCTGTGATTCCTCCCTGTAAGCTCCCCTTCTCCCATCTGAGTCCAGACTGTCTCAGGTTGCTGCTAAGCTGCGGAGAGATGGACTTTGCCCTGTCGCCTGGTGACTCTCCTTCAAGTTGCACTGAGCATGCTCAGCAGCCTGGACAGGTTTGGGCGCCTGGCAGGTTGGGTGTCTTACCTGCAGTGTGGGGAGGGGGCAGAACCTGGGGGGCCAGTGAATGATCGTCAGGCCTGGGATTCAGGGAGCCCGAGGGAGTGGCCTCAGCAGAGATGTCAGGGCCCTCAGTGACCGTCACTGTCACCTACAGTAAGTGACTGGGTCGGGGGAGCAGGGCTGGTTCCTATCTATGTTGGGTTCTTACCTTCTGGGCAGGATACAGTCGGGGAAGGGGTCTCATTGAAACCCATCTTGTCTGGGGACTGTGGTGGCTGATCCCCAGAGGCAGAGTCACAGTCTTGTTATTTACCAGTAAATCTGGCAATCAATAAGCATTGATTAAGTTCCTACCATGTGCTAAGTACTATGGATAGGACTTACATGTTTTTTTTTCTTTCTCTTCCATATTTTTTTCTTTTTTTCTTTTTTTCTCTTCTTCTCCATTCACTTCCCCTTCTCACTTTAGAGACTTCTTGTTTCAGTTCTGAGGGGGTTGGGGGTTAGGGGGAGACTAGATGGTCACTGAGACTCCTTCCAACTAACTCTCTTGAGACTCCTTGATTCAATCATTTAGCAGCTTCCCATAGACTCCTCCTGTTCCTGCTTCTGTTAATAACAGTAGTTAGCAATTAAATATAAAGCACTTTTAAGTTTTGCAAATCATTTTACATTTATCCAATCATTTAGCAATACTGCCCTGGTTTCTGGGAGGATGTTGGGAGAGCTCAGGAATCGTGGCAGCCTCCACTCCATAGAGTTGCTGATAGGCAACCTTTTCTAAAAAGTTAGGTTTATGTTGTGATTTTGCCCTAAAGCGGCCAGGAAATCACAGTGCCAGATTTCTTGTGGTAATCAAACTTGACTGTGGAAGTAGCCAGCACCCCCCCCCCCAAAGGATGTTCTGATTTCAAAGGAGTCTAACTTTTTAAAAAGCAAACGTGGTATTGCAGGATCTACATTAATGAAATCTCTTTGGAGAGTAATTAGATCTCTCTTACCAGTTATTTAACAGGAACTATTTACAAAATGACTGTTACACAGGTAATAGTGTCTAGAGCTGGAAGAGATCTCAGAGGCTATCCAATTCCCTCATTTTATAAATGAGTAAATTGAGTCTTAGAGAGGTTAAGTCAATTGATGTGAGGATCAGATGAAATTATATACATGTCAAGCATTAGATGAACGTTAGCTATTATTTTTGTTATTGTTGCTGCCCAGAGTCACACAGGTAATGTCAGAGATGAGATTTGAATCTAATCCTTTGATTCCAAAGGCAGTGAGTGCTCCTTTCCTAGAGCAGTACAAACCCTAGGATAAAGAGTAAGGACACCTACGTTCTTTTACCCCCTCCAGAATGAGGCAACAACATTGCTTTATGTTCCAGTGAATTTTAAGGTTTACAGAGAGCTTTCTAGACAGCCATATGTTGGCTGTCCATATATCTGGCAATATAATATGTAGATCAGTTTTATCCAACAAGTATTTCTGGATAATCTACTATGTAGTGGAACTATATTTGGCACAATGGTGAATACAAACATGTAAATCAAAATCCCTGCCCTAAGGTTACTTATAAGAGAGGTATAAGCAAAAAGAACATTTGGATTGGGAGTCTGGAGAACAAGGTTCTGGTCATAATTCTACCTCTGTTTTTGGACAATTAATGCTGTTCTGCACAATGACAAGTTTTCAAAAAGAAGAAGAAAATAGAGTTGGCAAACTCTTACATCAATGAACTTGATTTCAATTCATATCAGACTTTTAGAACTTGTTAGAGAAAGGGTAGTGCATCTACCCTTCTTCTACTGTACATCTAGAAGTGACAATTTTAGAGAGCCATCATACTTTTATCAAGAACTAGTTGGGGGACTTCTGGGTCACATGAGCCACAAAATGGAGGATTAAACATTTTCTGTGATCCCCATGACCTCTCAAACCAGAAACAGAAATTATACACCAAAGATAAAGCCACTTCAACTATCTCCATGGTCTAGGACACCCAGAATTCAAAAAGAAGTTTTAAAAAAAGCCCCCAAAGCTATGAACTAACATTCAACTTACCCTGAGCTCACTCAGCACCCATCGCTAGCCTTCCAAAGTACAAGCAGGCTGCACTAGCAGATCCAAGGACTGGACACACAGACCTGCAACAAAACCCATTCCTACTCCCAGGTTCCCTCTCTGTTTCCAGTTCTGTGGAGATCCTAACTCCAGGCTGTGGAAATTTACTCCAGCTACGTCAAACAGTCAACTGGCCGCAGCCCTTCAGGAACAAAAATACCAGCATGGCAAAGCCCTGAATTGTTGGTACTGGGCCAGAGAATTGAAGAACAGAGGAAGCATAATAGGTCACCAGGACAGGGTACCATGTGTATATGTTGTGGGGGTAGGTGGAGAGAAGCGAGTTTAGCACTTTACTAAGTCTGAGGGAATGTGCAAGCACTCGGCAGGATCAGTTTTGACTAACCCTAACCCAAAAGTCACTTGGGGCAAAGACCTAGGTTGGTGAACTGTGGAGCCTGAGAGACTTTGAAATCCAGGTTTGAAGGAAACCAGCATCAGAGGGGATAGAGCCAGACAGTGAATAGGGGAAAATCAGGAGGAAAAAAAAAAGACAAAGTACCAAAAATCTCAGGAAGAAGAAAACTCAAAGACCTTGAACATAGGAAGATCAATCAATAATCAATCAATAAAGATTAATTAAGCATGTACTATATGCTAGGCACTGTGCTAAGCACTAGGGTTACAAGAAGGGGCAAAAGAGAGTAAGAGAGCCCCAGGAAAAACCCTGCAACAGCTGAACCAGAAGAAAGATGGGGTGCAGTAGTCCAGTAGCCCAGGTAGCCTGAGGGATTAATGGGAAAGGTCCCTCTTGCCCTGGGGGAAGGGGAGTAGTACAGAACAAGAGGCATCCCAGCAAGCTAGTGGAAAGCCCCACCTCAGCATACCAGAAGGAGATCCTGAACCCCAGGTAGTGGAGCAGGCAAACACCAACACCTGGACCCCTGAGTGCTTCAGTGAGGGCGGGGGAACTGTTGGAAACTGGCTTGGAAAACCACCAGGTACCTCAGCATTCTACAGCAACCAGGTCTCCCAGTGCCTCAGCAAAACTAAGGGAAACAGTGCTCTAAAGGGCCCCAGGTAGATAAACGTCCTGCAACATCCATCTGAAAGGAGCTGAAGAAATGGAAAGGAAGAAAAGGCCCGGGTGAGCAGGAAATCTCCAGGAGATTTCCACACTACCCAATCCTACTCCTAGAATTCCAGTGTTGCTGATTCCAGCCCAAGACCATGTAAGCTGCCAACACCCTACAGCTTCCAACTGCCAGCATTGGAGGCCACAGCACACAAAGCCAGTGACCAGGCCCTAGACTCCCAGCACAAGAAGCTTCAGTCAGTGCCCTCTGCTCCCCAGCAGGAGAGCTCAATTTCTTTAAAGGACAGGAAATAAGCAAACACCATGAGCAAAAAGAAATGTACAGTAGATTCTTATTATGGGAAGAGAGAAGATCAAGGCAGAAATTCTGAAGAGGACAACATTGTCAACAAACCCACATCTGGAACCTTAAAAGGGAATATGAACTGGTCTGAAGCCCAAAAAGACTTCTTAGAAGAGCTCAAGAAGGATTCTAAAAGTCAAATGAGAGAAGTAGAAGAGAAAAAATGGGAAAAGAAATGAGAGGTATGCAAGAGAGAGTCAGTAGCTTGGAAAAAGAAGGACAAAAATTAGCTGTAGATAACAAATCCTTAAAAAATACAATTGGCCAACTGGGAAAAAAGTACAATGAAGAAAACAAGTCCCTAAAAAATACAATTGGCCAAATGAGGAAGGAGGTACAAAATCTAATAGAAGAAAACAATTTGTTAAAAATTAGAATTGGGCAAATGGAAGCTAATGACTATGAGAGAGCAAGAATCAGTCAAACAGAAACAAAAGAATGAAAAAATAAATGAAAATGTAAAATACCTCATTGGTAAAACAATTGACCTGGAAAACTGATCCAGGAGAGACCATTTAAAAATTATTGGGCTACCTGAAAATCACGATGAAAAAAAGAGACAGTATCTTTCAGGAAGTCATCAAGGAAAACTGCCCTCAGGTTACCAGAGGGTAAAATAGCCATAGAAAGAACCCACTGATCACCTCCTGAAAGAGATCCCAAACTGAAAACGGCAAGGAATATAGTAGCCAAATTCCAAAATTACCAGGTCAAAGAGAAAATACTGTAAGCATCCAGAAAAAAACAATTTAAATATCATGGAATCACAGTCAGGATTACACAGGACCTTGAAGCTTCCACATTAAAAGACCTCCAGGGCATGGAATATCATTTTGTAAGGCAAAGGAGCTTGGATTACAACCAAGGATCAGCTACCCAGTGAAAATCAGCATGATCTTTCAGGGGAGGAGATGGATATTTAACAAAATAGGGGACTTCCAAACCTTCCTGATAAAAAGACCAGAGCTCAACAGAAAATTTGATCTTCAAATATAAGACTCAAGAGAGACGTAAAAAGGTAAATGGGACAGAAAGAAACAACATGTTATTAATAAGGGCAAACTTCCCTACAAGGGAAGATGACACTTGTAACCCTTGAGAACTGTATTGTTATTACACCATGTTAAAGGGGTATACATAAAGGGGGTGGGTATAAGTTGACTTTGATGTAATGATAAAAAAAAATCTAATCAAGTGGGTTAAATGGATCCAAGTAAGTGGATTAATCTGATTTAACTAAGAAAGTGTACTGAGAGAAAAGAAAAGGAGGGGGCAGACAAGGGTAAATTACTTACCAGAAAAGGCATAAAACCTATCAGAGCAGAGGGAAGGAAGGGAGAGAGATGAGCATTGTTTGAACCTTACTCTCATCAGATTGGGCTCAAGAAGGAAACAACCTAATCAGTTAGGTACTAATATTGAAAGACTTAACCCTTCTCAGCAATACAAGGATCTAAGACATCTCCAAAGGCCTCATGATGGAAAATGCTATCCACATCCAAAGAAAGAACTGTGGAGTTTGAATGTAGATCAAAGCATATTATTTGCTATTTTTTTTCTTCTGTTGTGTTTTGTTTCCTCTTCCTGGTGGTTCCTCCTATTGGTTCTAATTCTTACAACATCACTACTGTGAAAATATGTTTAATAGGA